CTCCGGGCAGGGCGCGGGCCGGGCCCCCCACTATGGTCCAGGGTCGGGGACGCAGATGGCGAGCCTGATCCGCTCTGGTCGTGGGCCGCGCCTGTGTCTGGGCCCCAGGAACTGAGTCCTAAGGGGCAGTGCTGGAGGCAGGAGGGCAGTGTTTTCACCTGGACGCATCCTCCTTTCCAGACAGGCCAGTCCTCTCACAGCCCGCGGGTACCAGTTTCACCGCTCTCTCCAGAATGCAGCTTGGAGGTTCTTTATTCACTAATGACCACTTAGAGCAGGCACAGAGAGTGTTTTATTACCGCCTCCATCCTTTGAAGCCTCCTTCCTCAAACAAGCGGGCGCATGGTGCAAATCCCTCCTTGGGTCCCCCAGGCAGAGCTTGGAGAGTTCAGGGCCTGCGCTCAGCGGGCTCAGGGGCTCACAGGGTGGCAGCGTTGAAGCTATACAGGGACCCGGCCTTACAGGTTCTGACTCCTGCATCAGACCTGAGGTGTGTCACGTGCTTATTCCACAAAACTGGTTTGTTAGTAAATGTCGCCACCTTAACCATATCCTGTGATGTCGGGTCATATTCCAGCACGAAACCGGATTAATAGGGTCCCTGAAATGCCTTTTTCAGAACATGAGGCTTGAGCTAAGGGCTATTAAATCCCACCTAGTGCAAGGTTCTCAGGGAGGCAAATGCAGTTAAGACAGGTTTTTATGGGGCGAGGGATGGGGGCAGGGTCCCTGGAATGGCTCTGAACCCAGGGGTGGAAAAACGTATTAGACAGACAGGAGCTGCCTTACAGTCCCAGTTCTTCAGTCTTCTCCTTTCCTGCCTTCTGTCATCAGGCTGCTGATGGTGTACCTTCCAGTTCCCTCAAGGAGGGCTCATCTGTTTTCTTAGGAAAATAATTTTTTAAAGCAGATTGTAAACTTCATTGGGAATTATTAATCAGCTTAAGCTTTTCTTTCTTGCATTCCTATAGTAAGAAAGTAGGCACACATAGTAGGTGGTATTCCATTTGCATTAGTGTATTGTTAATAGAACTGAACCAGCATAGCAGACAATCTTGGAAATTGCTTTTGCTTCTCCTACAGCATGCTGTGATTTCACTCTTGCAGCTGGTTCCTTGCAAAAATAGCAAAATGGTATCTGAGCCCTTGCTTTCTGGACCATGGAAGCTGTTCCAGGGGCACCTAGGATAAGAATGTCAGAGCGAAGTAGTGGTAGGGAGGTGTTACCATGCAGGGGCCCAGCTCAATGTGTCAGGTTATTTCTTTTTTTATTCAGATTATCTGTATGAGCCCCAAGGTGTTAGCTTTTATCTTCTTACTTGTTTCTTAACATTTAATCTCATTATTCAATCTTCACTTCTCATCAAGTGGTCATGTTGTTGTGACAGAAATTAAAAGTGGATTGTATGAAATTACGGATTTGATGAGATGTTCACTGGAAAACTGAAAAATTAAACATCTTATGATCCAAAGGTATCTAACATGGTGAGTGGATTGTTCTGAGATTGTGTGCCTGACATGGACAGCATTCCGGAGCAGTTACTACCCTGCCGTCCACTGAGCAGTATCACAGCATTCTGAAAACAAGAAGTTTACAGTCCTGACTGTAATCGGTGAATGAAATTTGCAGGATTAATAGATCTTCTCTGCATCTTAATGGTGTCATCTGAGGCCACACTTTAACAAGCACAAGATGTGTGAAGTGTGGGCTCGGCAATATGCAGAGATGCGAGGGAAGGACGAGCAGGGTCCTTTGAAAATCTCCGAATTCTCTGAGCGGCCTCTCCTGCCTTTGCATGGAGAAGGAGACTGCCTTCCTGCTGCCTGGCATGGGCCCACGCTCTCCTGAAGGACTCAGATCTGATGGCTCAGGCTTTGGGTGTCCAAGCTGACTAGTCACAGGGGCCTGGTTGAGAAGACAGTGTGTACTCCTTAGAAATAAAAACTACATTTGTTAGGTCTGGGGATTTAGCTCAGTGGCACAGCACCTGCCTGGCAAGTGTAAGGCACAGAGTTCAGTTCCTGGTACACTAAAAAATCGCCCCAGAGCTGCATTTGTCTATCCATCCAGTAAAAAGCCAATATTGTATTTTTAGTAGGATGTTCCTCAGTTGGGGTTTGCCTGATGTCTCCCTCGTGATTGGATTATAGTTTGGGGAGGAAGACCACAGAAGAGCCACTTTCTCATTTCCTATCAAAGGCACACGCTGGAACCAACATGGCTTTTCCTTGATGATGTTGACCTTGAACACCTGGTTGAGGTAGTGCCTGTCAGGTTTCTCCATGGCAAGGTTATTGTTCTCCCTTTTCACACTGTGTTCTTTAGAAGATAGTCACTCTGCTTAGCCCACACCTAAGGGGTGAGGAGCGAAGCTCTACCTCTAAGCTGGTGTATCTAGTTTATCATCTGTTACTCTTCTACACACAAGAGTATCCCTTCACCCAATTTAGTCAATCAGTTTTTGTACCAAGGTGGACTCGTGAATATTTATTTTATGCTTTGGATTGTGATACAATATTATCTTCATTATTTTTTGTTCAGATTCTTTCCACTTTGGCCATTGAGAGCTCTTTCATTTGGCTCTTGTTTCCTTTTTGACCCCCTCCTCCTCTCCCTCCCCTCCACACCCTCCCCTTCCCCCTCTTTCCCCCACTCCTTCCTATCTGTCACTACAAGATGCTCTAGGCTCACCTTTGTATTATCAGTCCAAGAATCAGCAGTTTTTCCAGACTCCCTGTATTGGAGCACCCTGTGTTGCTTTTTCACTGTCTTCTCGCTTGAGTATAGACTTCTTGTTGGCAAGGGACTGTGACTGCAATTTCCGGCACAATGTATTCTGGTGTCTCAGCAGGTATTTGTTGAAAGAATGCATTCAAGAAGCATTTGTTGAGTGGGTTAATCACAGACATTAGGAGAAGAATCTGACTGGTGAAAATCTGACTGAGGAAAAGAGTAGTTCCGCCATGTTTTATAATCAGTCAGCTGTCTTCTCAATAGGATGGAAGCTATTTGGAAGCATGGAACATTGTGTGGGCTTTCAAAATGCTTAGGCCAACAGGGAAGTGTGACATACACTGTGAGAGGGAAAGGAGCTACCAAATGTGCTGGTGCCCTACCCCATCCAAGCCAGAGGTTAGAGGCTGCCTCAGTGAAGGACAGAGAATAGCACTGTGGTTTTCTGTGTGGGCCCAGACACCGAGTCATCAACCAGAAGAGGCTGGGTGCTCAGCCACAATGCCACTGCACTGGTTTTCTGCCGGAGGGCACTTGCCTGGTGTGCCCTTGGTGGTAAGGCCACTGGAGCGGCCAGTCCAGTTCCACCCCAGCCTGCTGCTGAGCCTAGAATTAGTGTCACAGAGGGGGTGCACTATACAAGGCTCTTTTCATCAAACTGGCAAACTTGAACTTCTTTGAGAAGAGTCTGGCGTATCATCCAGAGGCATGATCATTCCTAGACAAGTGCTGGATACTGTTTTTGATTTCTTGCTTTCTAAACTGCATTCAATGCATAGATCTTAAACATAGCTTCATTTCTCATGCTCATATCAAAATGCACCAATTGGGTTGGGATTTTGTTCTAATACGTATGGGTTATATATATCTAGATTGGTTTTCTTCTTTTTTTTAATTTTTTTTAGTATGTATAGGGCTTCTTCACTAACATACCAGTAACTTCTTTGGGATTTTTGGGTGGCATTTTTATAACTTTAAATGCACTTCCTGTGATGACTTAGAATAACTCTTGCTTCTGGTTATAGAAGAATATATTTTATAATATAATGCTATCACACAAAATATCATTTCACAATACAAAGAGGAATGAGAGAAAAAAGCCAAATTTTGTTCTGCAGGGGGTCAGTGAGGTGGGAAGTTCAGGGGAAAGCTTTATCACCTGGCTGTGGAGGGGAGTGGCTGGAGTGTCTGGGGCCAGCAGGTGGCTGCTGGGTGAATGTGGTGTGTGGGCAAGTGCAGGGAGACAGCTGTTGGCTGGAGTGGAGAACCTGTGCTAGGGGACAGAGAGATTTGGGGTCAGGCCATGGCATGCCTGTTGGGTACTGAGACTCGCTAGGACATGAGGACCAGGAGCCCTTGGCTGAAACTGAATCTGGAGATTTTAATGAAGTCTGTGCTCACTAAGAGCAAGTGTGCTGTGACTGCTTGTGATGGCTTGAAAGTTCTTTCCAAAACTCACTACTATTATGACGGTGTTAGGAGGTGAGAACTTTCAGAGGTGATTAGTACACGAAGCTCCTTATAAAAGGGTGAGTGGGGTCCACTGTGCTCTCCTCACTCACCCACTCCTGCTCCGTGCAGAGGAAATATTTTTAGCACTCATTCTGGAACCAGAATCGTCAGACCTGCCTGTGACTTGGTGTTGGACCATGAGGACTCTAGAACTGAACCAAGGGATTTGTGTTGATCATCAGTCCTGCAGTCTGTGGTATTCTATGCAAGTGGCACACAATCTGCTAAGATGAGGCCACAGCCATTGTACCTTTGGGCAGTGGAGATAGTTTAGTGTTGTGGAGGCTGTCCTAAGCTGGCTGGGTCCTCCTGGTGTGGCATGATTCATGACCGTTTTGTCACAAAGTGAAACTAGATTGGTGGTGAGTGTCCATTGCATGAGGGGCTCATGAAGAGGCAATCAGTCCTGCTTTCTGTCCACATAGAGTGGGCAGACACATTGCTGCCCTGGAGTTCTCAGAAGCCATTGTGGCTCTGTGCTGACTGGTTCTAGAATCATGAATGAAAGCCAAGGAGGGGAGAGGCAAGTGTGGCATTGCTGACCAGGTCAGGACAGTTTCCTGAAGGGTGGTGCATTGGTGAGTCAGAGCTTTCAAGAGATGCAGAACAAGAGGAAGTTGTGTGTGTGTGTGTGTGTGTGTGTGTGTGTGTGTGTGTGTGTGTGTTCAGAGAGATTAATCTTAAGGAATTGGCAAATCAGAAATCTGTAGAGCAGGCTGGGGACCCAGGAGGAGCTGGTGATTCAGGGCAGTCTGGAGCAGTCTGGGTCAGAGTTCCCTCTATCTCAAGGGACCTTGGCTCAGTCTTTCCTCCTGTGACCTTCAGCTGGTTGGATGAGGTCTGCCCATGTCAGAGGGGACATGCTGTTTTACCCTCACAGTGACATCTAGATTGGCATGTAACCCAGCATGTGGGTACCAAGCCCTCTCCAAGTTCATACATAAAATTAACTCCCAAGCAGCTTCATTCATCCTTGCAGCTGGTGGTAACTGATTTTTGCCACATGCAAAGCTTTAGGGTCACCACAGCCCACAAGATTATAGAAAGGAGATTTGTTAAGAATGACTTTTTGTATGGTACGTAGACAAAAAAGAATTCCAAAGTAATTTTAATTTTTTGCCACAATTAATGTGATACATTTGTTATTTGAAAACTATAAACTAGAAGAGGTTTGAACTGTTTGAGTATGATTGTTTTCATCCTTTTTCTAATAATAATGAAGAAAATACTGGAGAAATTTGTCTGCACGTATGCCCTTTGGAAATAATGAAATTACCTGCCAGTAGATGTCTAATTCATTAAGTACAAATGCATCTTTTAGAGCAATAAACTTTTTGTATTGAGATTGTTTTTTTTTTCCCCCAAGACATGGTTTTGCTTTATAGTTCATGCTGGCCTTGTATAACTCAGTCTGGCTTTGAATTCACAGCAATCCTCCTGCCTCTGCCTCATGAGTGTTAGGATTCCAGGTGTGTACCACCACACCCAGCTTTGAGTTTTGTTTATTTCTTTTCCTTGACCATTCTCCAAGAGATCAGTCTCATTATACAACAGCTGACAGCTTCAGCATGTGTATGTTACCAGGGCTTGAGCTGCACATAGGACAGTGTGACTTGTGATTTGTTTGAACTGAAGACTTGAAGATAAGATTTCTCTTAAACTAGTTACAGTATGCTTATTGCATGGAGCTAGTGTTCATTTGGTGGCCTTAGTCCTTGACTTTGGGGTCCTAACTCAATTTGCAGAAAATCGGAAACTGAACCAACAGTTGTTTCTGGGCATTGGTGGGGAATGGGTGTAGGAAGATGGGGAAGAAGGTGCTGTCTAAGGAGGAGCTGAGGGACCAGAGAGCTGAGCTTCCACTCTGCCAGTTTCCTCACTTAAAGTCTTCCTTTAAAAAGTTCCAGGAAATAAACTGGTGTGATGGTACATGCCAGTAATCTCAAGAGGCTTAGGCAGGATTTCTGAGCCCAGAAGTTTGAGGCCAGCCTGAACAACATCAGTGAGACTTTGCCTCAAAAATAAAATGCACACAAAGTCCCAGTAACAAGAATGCCTTCCTTCTCTTGGCTTCCTTGTCAGATCCAACTATCCTTCAGTGCTGGCAATGTAATATAATCTTCTTACCATGTATTAATAAACACCATGGGGTAGGCATTATTTCTACTTTCCAACCATCCCAGAAGAGGGGTGGCATATTCCCCATTTTATAAGGAGGTTGTTGGGACTTTAAAAGGCTCCCGGGCACAGAGGTAGCTCCAGGATGAGTTTAGGCCCGTTCTCAGCCTTCGAGTCCCCAGCCACTGCTGGAAGGTGCTTCCTACCGCCTGTGCTCATCTGTTGTCTCTGCTCTCATGGTGCTCTGCCCAAGGCTCCATTCAGTGGCTTTCAGTTGCACCCTGCCCTCAGTGTGTGGCACAGCTGGCACCTACCATTCAGCTTTCAGGGCTGTATGGGGCTTAGAGGACCCAAAGATGGCTGTGGCCCCACTCTTTCAAGTGACAGATCCTGGACAAGCCAACTTGTCTCCTATACCTGTGACCGCTCAGCCAGGCTTCTGCTGGTCTGGGCACCTTGGCAGGCACTCCTGAGGGTACATCTCTCCCTTTCCTTTTCTTCTCTATTTTATCCTCTTACTCCTTTCTCCTCAGGTCCTCCTCAGCACAGTAGGGATGTTGATGTGCCTCACAGAATTATCAGAATCTTGAAGGAGATTTTTGTCTATGAAGGATCAAGTGTTAAGTCTGGACCGTCATAAAGTCTCCAACTCTGCCCTGTATCTTAATGACATTTCTCATGGAACCCTAAACAGCTGCTGACATTCCCATTTGCATCGTGTTTCCAACCCTTTGCCTGTTTCTCTCTTGTCTTGCCAGGGTGTGATTTGATGGTGTCACCATGATGCGAGTGGGGGAATAGTTTGTCGTCTCAGCTTGGATGGTGTCGTTCAGGGTTAGTGGCCTCTTTATTCCTGGGCTCCTCATGGCATCGCTCAGCACCTGAACTCCTGCTGGACCACGTCAGCCTCCTGCTCTCAGATGTGCTCAGGCCAGGCTGCCTCTTTGTTCATCTCCATGATCACAGAGGCTTGGTCAAAGGAGAGGCTGCTTTGCAGCTGGGAGAGTGCTGGGGGCAGTTTGCAGTTCCGATCTCGGTGGTCAAACTGTCCCACTGGTGTCTAGCACCTTCATTATTTGGAAACATTTTTTTCAGAACAGATCTTTATTCCTTTTGATAGTTTTAGGTTTAGCTGATTTAAAATAGTATATCTATGTGTTTTTTAAAGATTTAGATTTTAGGAGAAAGACTATCTTTTACTGGAGAAAGGATAGTCTTCAAAAAAAGGTGACACCTTTCACAAAATTAACTCAAACTGGATCATAAACCTAAGTATAAAATACAGCACTTTGAAACAAAAACAAAGTAGGAGAAAATTTAGGTGATTTTTGTGTTAGGTATAACTCGAAAACAAAATCTGTGAAAGAAAAAAATTGGTAAATTGGATTCTATTAAAGTAAAAACCTCTGCTCTGAAAAAAAACATTTTGAAGGAAGTGAGAAGTCCAGTCACAGATTGGGCAAAAATCTGAAATATATAAAGAACTCTTAAAACTGAACAAGAAGAAAAACAACCACTCAGTTTTCAAAAAGGCAACACCTTAATAGGCCTCTCAGCCAAGATTTGTAGGTGGCAAATAAGAGTATGAAAAGATGCTCCCATCACAGGTCTTCAAATACAAATTAAAATGACAGTGAGATATCACCACACACCTCTTAGGGTGGTCCAAGTCCAGTGACAACACCAACTGCTGGCAAGGATGAGGAGCAACAGGAACTCTTTCTTGTTCATTGCTGGAGGGGCTGCTGAGTGCTATACCCAGTTGAAAAGCACTTTAGCACTTTCGTGCAAAGCTAAACATAGTTATATGATCCAGCAATAGAATTCTTTGGTATTTGCCCAAGCAAGTAAAAAACTTAATGTTTACACAAAAAACTGTAGAGGATGTTTATGGCAGCTTTATTCATAATTGGCAAAAGTTGGGAACAATGAAAAAGTCTTCTATAGATGGATGGGTAAACAATATGGTAATCCTTACAATGGAGTATTGTCCAGCAATGAAAAGAAATGAGGTATGAACCTTGAAAAGACAGGGAGAAACCTTAAGAAAAAGAAGCCAGCCTGAAAAGGCCACATACCATGTGATTCTAATGGTATCTGATAATCCGGAAATGGTAAAACTTTGGTAACAATAGAAAGATCAATAGATGTTGAAGGTTGGGAGGGGGAAGAGTGAACAGGTAGAGAACAGCATTTTTAGGCAGTGATGTAATACAGTAATGGTGGACATATGTCATTACACACTCGTGTAAACCCACAGAGGGAGGCGTGACATCAAGAGTGAGCTGTGAACCGTGGACTTTAGTAAATAATAGTGTATCATTATCAGTGAACCACTTGTGACAAATATGTCCCATTAATGCAAAATGTTAACAACAGGGGAGTTAGCAGGAGAAGGGGTATATGGAAACTTTATTCTGTAGGCCTAATTTTTCTGTAATTACAAAACTGCTCTAAAAAATGACATCTATTAATTTAAAAAAACTTTAGTTCTTTAGCTTCAGGTCTTACATTTGATTAACAGCAGAGTATTTTATAATGAATAGCTTTTACATGTAAATAAATGTGTTCTCTATTACATTGTTTCCTATATTTCCTCTTAGAGCAATTCAAGAAATACAGTGGTACCTTGGTTCACAAACTTAATTCTACAATTCTGGTCACAAACCAAATTGTACAAGAACTGAATCAAATTCCAAGGTTAGCTTCAGTGTTGACCTTTTGAGGACATTTGACTTGGTTCTTGACCAGAATCATGGAAAGAATTGAGTTTGTGAACCAAGACACCACTGTATTTGCTCTGTGCTTAGCACATATGTTGTAGAGTGAGAAGCACATATTCAATCAATGAAAGAGTGTGGGTGAGTGAGTGAGAGTGAAAGAGGCAGGCTGAGCTTGGAAGCATTGAACTATAGCCCGTTTGGTTTTTAGAACACACCAAAAGCATTTGTGTCTCCCCTCACTTCTACTTTGTATCAAAGCCTGCTCTGGGCTCCATAGACAGGGTTACTATATTTACAGTTTCCATATAGTAGCTTGTTAGGGCTTCATATTTTTATAGTAAATAACTAAGAAGAGGAAGCAAGTGGATCTAGAGATAGGTCATTTTAAAACATCTGTCAATATTCATATCCCACTTTTGAAGGATAGGATTTCTCAAAGCACTGCTTTTTGTTTTTTGTTTTTAAGCAAAGTGGATTCAGGAAGTTATCCATCTACAAAATGCTCATTCAAAACAAGAACTGAAAGGCGAGCCAGGCAAGTGGTACCTTGGTTCATAAACTCAGTTCTCTCCACGATTCTGTTTGCAAACCAAAGTGGATAAGAAGTGAATCCAATTTCCCCACAAAGTTCAACACTGAACCTAACCATTAAATTTGATTCAGTTCTTGTCCAACTCAGTTTGTGACCAGAATCGTGGAGAGAATCCAGTTGTGAACTGAGGCACCGTCTGTCATAC